GGAGTTAGAGGCGCACAGGAGGAAAGAAGCAAGCCAGTCATGTCCACTGGGCACGCAGCCCAGGTCCTTTGGCCACTGACGTGGAGCCAATGTGAGTCTCAGTGATTGATCCTGCAGCCAAGGATGCCCTTCTCTCAGCAGCCGCAGGTTCCCACAAAGGAAGGCTGCACACGGAGAAGTCTTTGTCAGGGCTCCTAATGAGAAGATTGAGTTTCACATCACAGCTACCTCTAACCAGGTACACTCTGCTGCTTTCATCTTCCTGATGGCTCCCACGGGAAAGAAAAGAAAGAGAAAAGAGACTATACTAAGAAACAAGTCACAGGCTAGTTTGGCTGGGTTTTGTTCCTCCTGGCTTCTTACCACCCCCAGGTCTGCAGCTTTGAAATTCTTTAATTTTCACACACCCTGTGTGGCCACTGGACAGCAATGGGAAGAGTTTTCCAAACTAATTTTTCATAATTCATCCACCATGACTCACTGGAAAATGAATGCCTCTGAACCGCGGCACATGCTGTTGCTTCTGGAAGATCTCTGCAGACCCAAACTCTTCTACGGAAAACCTGCCCTTCTTCAGGACGCAGCACGGGCACTGGTCTCCTCCAGAAAACCTTCCTGGGTGCTCTGCCCCAGTCCTACACAGATCTCATTCTGCAGTCCTCTTCCATCCTACTACAGTCTTTCTTCCATAGTCCCTGCTCACATATCTGTCTCCCCATCTATACCATAAGTTCAATGAGTACAAGGAAAGTGTCTCCAGTATCTAGCACGCTGCTTAGCATACAGCATGAGTGTAATAGGCGCTTATGGGTGAAATATGATTGATATATGATTGATAAATGATGAAACTGAGATCATATTTGCTGAGCTCTTTATATAGGATATTTAATTCTTTCAATGCTTTTTTTTAATAACCTGTAAATATCCTTTGTGCAGTTGTTAATACACTACTTGGGATGTCTGTGTCTTTTATCAGCACACTGAGGTTTGAGTCTTGGCTCTGGTCCCAACTCCAGCTTCCTGCTAATGTTCATTCTATAAAGGCAGCAGATGAAGGTTCAAGTAATTGGGTGCTTCCCGCTGTTGCATTCACCTGAGGAATGAACCAGCAGATGGGAGATCTCTATCTGTCCGTCTTTATCTTGTTGTCTTTAAAATGAATATATAATTTCTAAAAAATGGCCTTTAATTTATTTGAGGTTTCAAAAGCAATAATGTTGACTGAAACAATTTTACATAGGAAAAAAAAAGAATCCACAAAGGAAATAAAAACTGCCTATATCCTACCATCCAAAGAAAACTACTTTATCATTTAGATATAGATTATGTAGATATTATCAATATCATAAATCTATGTACATATAATTTAGATATAGATTATGTTCCTTCCAGTAATTTTATATGCATATGTATACACAAAATCAGAATCCTATTGACATACCTAATTTTCTCATGGACAGTAATAATAAATTTTGGAAGAAGGTAGAGCAGAAATTTTTATCGCAATTTAAGTGATGAGAAACTGGAACCTAAAGATACACATCTAACTAATGGCAGAGCTAGGACTATGGCCCTTGATTCTTGCCATAGTCTTAGGCTCCTGCTGCTCCTAGGGACACCTCCTAAATGGGTGGTGGTCTTGCATCACTCCAGTATCAATGGGGCATGGGTTTGTAGCTGCGGGGGTTCTTCCCTAGGAAAAGGAAAGGTTTCCAGGGTTGAGGAAATCATTTGACCTGGCCCCAAGAAGGCAACTGTAGGCAAGATTAGAAATTCAGTAAATCTTAGCAGGCTAACTTTGGGGTTGATAATTTTGTATGATGCGTGAATGATATGTAAATATCCAAATGGCACTTGGCAGAACAAAGGTTCCCCACCCCTGAAAGATGATCCTGTGTCCACACCATGGCCATAGTGTGTAAGTGAATGTTACACTTTAAAGGGAAACAAGGATGAAGCAACCAGGATATTGTCACAGGACCTTGTGTTATACTAACAAACTGAACTAAACAGGCATCAGTACAAGTCAAAGTTTCTTTTCAATGGCCAAGTGACATCTGAACAGTGATTATCTAGGTACAAATCACGTTGCTATGGGAATTGCGGCCTTACATTAAACCTCATTATAGCCTAGTAAATTGTGCTCCAATCCATGACCAATGCACACTGCAGTGCTCAATAAATGTGCATTGAGCTGAACTGAATGGTTATTATTATTTGGCAGGGATAGTAGGCAAAAAGAAAGACTGACAGCAAACATTTGCACCATTACGCCCACTATGGAAAAGGCACTTCAGTGTGATCTAGATTTTTTTTTTCTAAATAGAGGGCTCTGAATTGTAATTCCAGAAACACACTTCAAATTATCAGCTCTGTACTGTCTTATTTACATGCATACCTGTAGAATGCCTAGCACAGAGTCTGATACATTTGAGATGTCAATGATCCATGAGTTGAATTATGTTTGTGTGAAGACTGTTTTTTGCTAGCCTGCTATGAGAATTACGAAGATGTTGACTAATAATTCACCATTCCTTTCCCTGAAAGCTCTGTAAATCAAGTTTTTTTTTTTTTTTTTTTTAAAGCAGCATGCTAGATTCCAAAGCCCTCTCTCAGGAGAAATGCCTGTGACTGGTGGAGTCTGGACTACGTCCACCAAATGTGAGATCTCTTCTGCACATACATCACCTACTCCCAAGGGAGTCTGTGACTGACTGGCTGTGGAGAGTCGCACATCCTTTCTTTCCCAGTGGGAGGGGGGTCAGGGGAAAAGGCTGGGAGTCTAGTGATTTAGCATGGCTGAGCTAAGTGTTCTCTTCCCAGGAGAAGCAAAATCGTACAACAGGAGAAGAGAGAGCACTTTTCTAGAGAAGCTCCCGTGAAGAACACGGGATGTAGTTGAAAATGATCTTTCTAGGGACAAGTTTTTTTGTGGCTTAGCAGGTGAAGCTGCTGCAATGCTGGCATCCCATTTGGGTACTGGTCCGTGTCCCAGCTGCTCTACTTCTGACCCAGCTTCCTGCTAATGGCATGGGAAAAGCAGCACCTGGAGACCCAGATGAAGCTCCTGGCTCCTGGCTTTTCTGGCTTTGGCCTGGCTCAGCCTTGGCATTGTGACCACTTGGGGAATGAACCAGCAGATGGAAGATCTCTCTTTCTAACTATGACTTTCAAATAAATAAATCTTTTTTTTTTTTTTTAAATAAAGAGCAGCCTCATATTCTCTCTTAACATACATTGGAGCTGTTGGAGCAGTGCTGCCAGAGTTGGGCTGAAATGGTACAAACTGGGGTCAAATGAGTGAGCAGAGGGAGGGGTAATCTGGGATACTGGTTGAGGAATCAGAAGGCTGAAATGCTCACTTTTTCTGAGTTCATCTAAGAGAACTAACAAAAACAAAAGCAAGACACTATTTGCTATTCAGATCCTTTCTTGAAATGCACTGAGCTGGGTTTGAAGGAACAGGAATAGAAAATACTGATTTTTCTGGGAAGCAACCAAAACACAACTCATTAATCCCTTTAACTCTTAACAAACCCTCTTGAAGATTTAATCACGATGTAAAATCCACAAGTTTTTATTGGCAGTGTTTGGTTATCTTTTGCACAACTCTCTCAAGTGGCAACCAAAATGATTTCCAGGTGTGTCTCCATTACACATTCCAGGGGCATGCTGGCAATGTCTGTCAGATTGGTGCCCTGGTCTAGCATTATAAACTCTTTCCAAGGCAGACTTAGGACACAATCTCGCAGATGCCAACTTCTCTGCTTATAAGGCACAGAATTTATTAGTGAAAAGAAAGATTGCTACCTTTTTTTTTCATTTTTAAAAAATAAAGTTTATTAGATCATAATGTTGTGTGAATTTACCACCTTTGTCAAAAGTCAAAGCTTCCAAGTGTAGTCTATAATTCCTTAATCAGAGTCAGCAACTTATGGAGCGCTTCAGCATCTATAGTCGACCTCTCACTAGCCAGGCAAACTTCCCGAAATAATCGTAGTGATTGAGTCATCTTCTCAAATTCTCTCGCTTTTCTGTGTCCCTTTTGAATGACCTCTTCTGGAAGATTAGCAAGTCTCGCTGCATTGAAGCCATAGCTCTTGGGACAAGCTCCCTTAATGAATTTATAGAGGAAGGTAATAGTCTCCTGACTGGGGTCTTCACACTCATTTTCTACCATGCATGCCATATGTCCTAGACGCACAGCATCATTCTGAGAATAAAAAGATTGCTACCTTTAAAAGAGATTTTACATATGGTTTATTGATTAGAGCTTGGTGTTTCCAAACATACAGCTGCCCAGATCATTTGAGCCTTTGTGCTGAATCAGTGGGACTTGTCTTAGCTCCCTGTGAGCTTCTATGAGCTCTGCTATCAATGCAGAGCCACCGAGGCTTGTTGTGCCATCTGTGTGAAGGAAGTCACTGGAAGCAAGGAAGCAAGTGAAAGAAGTCACTTCTCATTTGGGAAGAAAAAGTCACGAGAACTTGTGAGTTTAGGTCACACATGGCCATGCAAGGTACATAGAGGGTTGGTATGAAATCCAGGTATGTCCAACCCTGGAAATGAAGATTTCTACTCATCCAAAGACTATCTTTTTCTATCCTGTTTTCTTTTTTCAATTCTCTAAGATACCTGTTTTAATCTGTAGACTCAATTCTAAGGCAAAATTTGCTCTAAGATCACAAGAAAGAAACCCAGGACAGTATTACAAGAAATCGTATGAAAAGAAATTGGGATTTAGAATTTACACACTCTGAGAGTTCTGATTCTTCTTGTCTGACCTTGGATAAATCACTTAGTAACTTCATAGAATATCAGTTTCTTGTCAGTAGAATGAGTATAAATAGTTGTATTATCTCACCATGCTTTTTTTAGAGCAACTATGTGAAACTGCAATTATCTTCTTCATGTGTTTATTTATTTTCCATTTCTCAGTACACTTTACTACATTATAAATACTGAGAGTTCAGGAACCTTATTGTTTTGGTTTACCACAGTGGCCCAATGCCAGGAATAGCAATCAGCTCACAGTGCACGGTCAAGAAGAATGAATGAAATTTAAACAAGTGAAGGAAGGCACAAAGGAAAGAAGGAAAAAGGAAGGACAGAATTTTTGAAGCATTATTGATATACTTCAGGAAAATGATCTGTAAATTATTAAGTATTGTCTGCATAACTTAAAAATTGTAACATTTCATGCACTAATTATGCCAGCATCTTTTAAAAATGTAAGTTACAAGTTACTTCCTCGATTAAAGCTTCCTTTTACTTCTTAAAAAATAAAAGCCAAACTCCTTTCAGCTTATCAAGCCTATATGATCTGAACTCTACCTGCCTAGTTTCCCCCTTCTCTGCCATACCCCAATCACTCTGATATTCTCGTGTGTTCTCCAATATGCCAAGTTTGTTCTTGCCCGGCACCTTTGTGTTAGCCTCTTTCCCCACCTGGAAAGTTCTGCAAAACCTGAGAGCTGGCTCCTCTCTGTCCTCGAGCTCTTGGCACACATGACATCTTGTCAGAGGAGCCTTTCCTGTTTATGTGTGCTGAAGCAGTCGTCACAGTAATCTATTGCTTATTTATTCATTTATATATTACTAGTCTCCTCCTTAGTGCCTGGTATTCAACAAATATTTACTGCTGTGTGACATAATATTTATTTAATGCTTATACTTCATAGATACTTTCCTATTTTGTTTAATTTCTACAAGTTTACAAGCCAAAAAAAAAAAAAAAGAAAAAAAAAGAAAAGAAAACCACAAAAAACCCTCTATGGTTTCAAAGTGAAAGCTCTCTCTACCTTTTTCCACTGAAACCTCTCCCCAACACACTTTGCAGGAGGTATCTTTGTCCTGTGGAGAAAAGCAACTGTGGTGAATGGTTTCACATTTATGATTTAGCTGCAGTCTTGGAGTCATGGAACCCTAGTGATACAATACTTACTTGGTATTCCATTCCAACCTAGAGGGATTCTTGTGAGACATGGAAATGGTGCTACTGGTGTTAGGCTATTTCCTGTCTTGGGTTAGAAGCCTCGTAATTCAGAGCTGGGAGGATGGAGGGAATGGGGTAGAAATAGGTAGATGGAAGCAAATGGTAGGGAAATTCACTGGTTCCCATTTGGGCTTGTTTATACCCATGCGTCAGTAATTCTGTACAAAGAGCACTGGACCAGGACACAGAACTAGAGTCTGAGGTTGTCTCTGCAATCCCTCTTCCTTCTATTCAATGATGTGGAACTGGTAACTTAGGGGAACCCCAGCTCTGAAACTCTATGAATTGATGAAGGGAGTCTAACCTTTCCCAGTGACCATGATGTCTGTGAAAAGGGATAACCCCCGCTGTATTTCTGGTAAGTATAGCTTTCCTGAGCTAAGCAGGATTTCTCTGACTGTCCAATAGGGTCACCAGACAATCACCAATCTCTGCTTTCCTCATGCTGCTCTAGTCTCCTCTGTCCTTGAGAGACCAGGCAAAAACCCTCACTGTCATGTGGGGTTCAATATCTAACTATGCAACTAAGTACACTCCAACCACTCTCCAAGAGATGGATTCCCACTGTATCTGATGTTGCTAGCACTACCCATCTGCTTTCAACATGCTGCATTTGACATTAAACAAAGTCTCCCATTAGCACGAAAAGAAAACAATCTGGAAAAAAATGACTGTCAAGCAGAGTTCAAACAGGCCACAAGTAGATGTGGAATCTCAACTGCATAAGGTTTGCTAAAATAATTGTAATAAACATATATCATACCTGCATAAACATGTAGGTACACATCCAGATGCGTTGTGGTATAGTCTAAGTCTGTGAAATCAGTCAAGGCAAGAAAGACAAGAAATGCTATCCAATTTATGAAATTAACTAGTGACAGCAACAGGAGAAAAACTTAGCGTAGAACAAGGTATAATCAAAAGAAATGAATGCTATGGAAAAAGATCTGGGAATCTTTATCCCACACTTACAGGTAATGGGTTAAAATTCTGGTCCACAAGGTGATTGTATCCATGGTCAAAAAATGAATGCCGTATCACTACATCAATGCCCTGGTTGGCCAGCATTCCCAAAGTGTTCAACCATCTAAAATGCAAATGGAAGAAGCTACATCAATATATTTTTAATAGCATATAATATATCTATACAAATTGATTACAACATACAAGTGCACACCAATCCTCTATAACCAAATTTATCCAGTACTTTAAAGGAGAAAATTGTAGTAGAGCATTAAGACTTTGACCATAAGGTAATTTAAAAATTTGTTATCTTAAAAATTAAGAAAGAAGGAAGTAAGCATCAATATTCTTAGAACAATATCTTTGAATAACATTGTCTGTTCCTTTATATTAATAAAATGCAAAATAAAAAAAATTATAAGATTTTTGGAGATTATCAGATGCAAATTCTTCATTTTACAGGAAAAGAAGTGGAGATCCAGGGGAGCACAATGACTTCCCTTGGTTATGAAGTCATTATTGCTAATAACTTACTTTGTATTGATGAATACCAGGCCACTTTTAAGCCTAATGCCATCCCTTTGGTCACAAGATATACAATCACAGGAGCACACACAATATCAGTTCCATCCAAAACTCCCTTTTTTACTCTCTGCCACCATACACACACCTTTCATGGGCTCCTAAACCATGGACTCCCATGAGCCATGCAAATGTACCTCAGTCATTTGCATGACTCATATTCATATATATCACTGTCAGGTGTTGATGCAATAATAATTTTCCTTGGCACTATAATTAATTATTCAGGGATTCAAGTGCTACCTTCACACATACAAGTATGTTATAATGAAGTACTTGCACCGCTCACACACTTACCATGTACACCACTATACCAAACAGTTGCTTTCCAGAGTACGTCATCTTTCAATAATACTGCCCTCTTGGTTCTCCCATCACCCATGGCTGATCTTGCCTCATAATATACACATTCAATTCATTCATCCACCCATTCACTCTCATTTTCATTCTCTTCTCTCTCTGTCTCTCCTCCCCCTAATTATGAAACTGACAGAAATTTCTCACTCCAATGTGACCGTTTATGTAATAAATATGTCTTACATCTTCAGTCTTCCCCATATGAAAGGCAGGGTATTTCCCAATCTGCTTCAAGCACATGTGTGTGTCCAGGTTCATCTATTACCTCTTCTGCCCTCTCCTATTCTCCACAGGCTCTAAAGCCATAAGAAACTACTCCTGGCTACTCAAATACATTATGCTTCCTCATACTAACCTGAAACTGTTTTAATTTCTGCTTAAAGTTTCTTTCCTCTTCTCCTATAACCCACCTCTTTTCATCTAGCAATTTTCTTTCCATCTACTAATTTCCAGTGTCATATTCTTCTAAACTCTGCTGCTACAGCCAGAAGTAGTACCTCCCTCTCTACTTCCACAGAATCCTATTCACACTCTCTGGGAGCCCACCAAGTGGTAATTTGCTTATTTTTATTCCTTCTCTTCAGCTATGAGCTCTTCAAGCATAGACACAATGTTTGAGCTCGTACCCAAAACACCCATCACAGTTCCTGGAACATTGCAGGTGCTCAATACTCTTTAAGCTGAAATTTATCTGCATAAAACTGGCAGATGTCCTAAACAGCACTCTGGCCTCAGAATCAGCCCTTAAGGCATGCGGATCCGGCTGAAAAGCCCATGAGAGTATTTCAGGCATGGAAAGCCAAGACACTCTGGGGGAAAAAAAAAAAAACTAAATGAAAGATCTCCACGAGTGAGATCCCAGTGGAAAGAATGAGTCATCAAAGAAGGAGGTACCTTTCTCTGAAGGGAGGAGAGAACTTCCACTTTGACCATGGCCTTGTCTAAATATGATCAGAGTCAGTGAACTCAGGGGGCTTCCATAGCCTTGGCAGCTCATGACAAGAGCCTAGGGTGATTACTGAGGCCCTAAACAAGAGTGTCAATTTGTTAAGTCAACAACAGGAGTCACTGTGCACTTACTCCTCATGTAGGATCTTTGTCCTTAGTGAGCTGTACATTGAGATTTAATGCTATAACTAGTACTCAAACAGTATTTTTCACTTTATGTTTCTGTGTGGGAGAAAACTGTTGAAATCTTTACTTAATGTATGCTAAACTGTTCTTCTGTATATAAAGAGAATCGAAAATGAATCTTGATGTGAATGGAAGGGGAGAGGGAGTGGATAAAGCTAGGGTTGCGGGTGGGAGGGATGTTATGGGGGGAAGCCATTGTAATCCATAAGCTGTACTTTGGAAATTTATATTCATTAAATAAAAGTTTGAAAGCAAAAAAAAAAAAAAAAAAAACTGGATCCTAGGAACCCTATTCTTCAACATTCAGCCCACTGGGGGAAAATCATGCATAGTTATGATTTCCCAAATCTGAAGCCATATAGAGGTCCAAACCCATGCCTTGTAGAAGAATTAAGTTTTTTTCTTGCTAGAATAAAAAGCATTGCTAATTTTTGTATCATGAATAAGTGTTATTCATATTTTCAAACCTTTTTTCACATTTACAATTATATTTCATTTTCATAAAAACTAAGAAATATTTAATGACAGAGTTAACAAAAACAGACAAGAACAAAATGCAAAACAAATCACAAAAACAAAAATTTTAAACCAGAAGGAAAATCTGACTATAACATAGAAGAATCTTGTTGTTGTTGTTCAAATTGGGACACTGTGACCTAGGGAATTGGAATTACTTTTGGAATATCCCATAGCTCAGCTACTTGCCTTTATTTTTTTTTTTTTTTTTTTTTTTGTTTTGTTTTATTTATTTATTTATTTATTTTTTTTCTTTTATTTAATGAATATAAATTTCCAAAGTACGTCTCATGGGTTACAATGGCTTTCCCCCCCATACCGTCCCTCCCACCCTACTTGCCTTTATTTTTATTAATCTTGCTGCCTGTGAAATCAGGACAACAAGTGTAGTTTTCCACTAGCCATAATATTAATAAACTTGTCACAGCATGTGCTGTGATAGAACCGTAACACGAATCCAGAGCTAAATCCTCTTAAATCAGTGTTATTTCTATGTTGAAAGAGCATAGATATACAGTAAAGTTAATAAGTATTTATCTATAAAACAAGTATGTCTTGTTTACCTTTACATTTTTATATTTGTTAAATGAGTGAAAAAAATAAAACAAATAAACAACCATATTATTACATATTTGTGAGCTCCTAGATCCAGCAGCAATTGCATATTAACAAAAGCCTGTATCTTGCTGTTTTTACATGTGAATGATATTCATTCACTCATTATTCAATAACACTTAACTGGTCTCAGCATGGACAATACATGCAAAAATGCCCATGTGATCATGTCAGTAACTGGTAAATCACTGGGTGTGTAAATATCTGTTTATATAAATTTATGAGAATGGGATCCAATTCCTACTTGTGACCTCTGGCACCATGACCTGCATAGACTCTACATTTAACAAATAGGAGTAAATTAGTAAACCTGATTTTTTCTTTGCAAGTATATGGGGAACTGTTGAAGAAGCTGCAAAGTGGAAGAGAAGAATGTGCATCCTCCTTCTTCCTCCACCCAACATTCTTTCATGTGTGTCCAGGATCTGGAGCATTCAAAAATGACTACGCCAGAACCGCTGCTTCCCCGTGGCCTTCAGAGCAGAACGCTTAGTGCTGAAGCTATCCTCATCTCTTTTCTGTGATAACAAATCCCTGGAGAAGGGGAAATAAATGGTCTTCCAAAACTCCCTTCTAAGCTCAAGTAAAGCAAGTTGGTAAAATGACTGGTGTACACCTCCAAGGATGCTGCTCCAGTCATTGTTCTTCATTCCACAAAAAGTTTTTTGAAGACTTTGTGGAGAACACAGCAGTGTACCAATGGTGTACTTGTAGTGTGACAAAGAATCTCAAAGCCCTGACTGGGAAACACTCTCCTTGAGTACTTGGTGGAGAGAATTCTGATTTACACACACATTTGCATGTTTCTTAGTGAGTTCACATTTATACATGTTGAAAAATGCCTTCTTTCCAATTTCTTTGTAACCTCATAAGAGCTTCCTGGAATGCTTTCTTTTTCCCTCCAGGAAGCCACGTATGTCCCTTTGAGAAGTGGGTACTGTCAGTGGAGTTGAGATCAAACGGGTGACAAAGAGATAAGAACAGAAGCAGAATGAACTAATTTTCATCTGATCTGTGTCAACCAAGCACTGGATGTCTGAACTACAACCCACGGTTAAAGAACCATGTTTATCTGTGTTCTGGAAAATAAACGCATAGATCTGGGAATATGTGGCTGATGCTCACATAAAGGCAGGTCTCTGCTGCAGATGCTTCCACGAAGGCCTGAGATATTTCTCATTTCACATCATTATTTAAAGGGAGGAATGCTCACAAAAACACTTGTACAGCTCGGTTGCCAGCAGAATCCTTTTTTCTTGTTGTTGATAGTTGGGCAAAAGCTATTCCTCTACCGATTCCAAGGGGCCTCCTGCATTACTGACTGCCAGTCTGGCTTCTCGCCCTTGCGACCTGTCACACATTAAACCGGTGTGGGATGTGATTTTAAAGAAGATGCTCAGCAATGCTGTATCAAACGTTGCCTCACTGCCTTTCATTCATGTGAACCACGCTTTCTGGACTCGCTCTGTGCTATATATTGTTAGATGCCGAAGATACAGATATAGAAGACCTGTGGTACTAGCATGAATTGCACTGATTCATTATCTTCATCCACATTTGCCACAATTCTGTCTGTAAAGGCAATCTGCTTGACTAGTCTGATTTATCCTTCACAAATGTATTAAAGAAGCTACCTCAGTGGAGAGGGACTGCCTATATAAAATTGGGAACAGCTGTTAGTAGACCACATAGCTGAGGGTGTAGCTGCAGTTCCTAGGAGCACCTTGCCTAGCAAATGGCCTCGGCCATAGAGTTATACTGGAACTGGACAAAGCTGCTTGGTTAGTCCACGCTCCTTTGGTGTTTGTCTCTGCCACGTGACACTGGCAGGGAGTCAGAGGCTCTTCATGGTCCTGGCTTCAGTCATTCTCCAGATTGCAGTGGGCTTCACGTTCATTTTCCTATCTCTTCCAAATTCTGGTACATTCTATTACCAAAGCCAAAGCTTTAAAATAAAGATCAGATTGTATCTCTTTGCTCTTTCAAAGTCTTCAGTGTCTTGTCCTGAGAAGAGAACACTGGCTCTCTCATTTCCTCCACTTGGTCTTCAAGACATTCCATGATTTGGTGGTAAACCTCCCCCAAGTCTCAGTCCTCACTTTATCTCTGCAGATAGTGAGGCTTTAGTCATGAGTCACTCCTCTCTGTGACTTTACCCATAAGCTTTCTCTGGTTTAGAGCACTCTCCTCTGCCATCACCCTACTCCCATCTGTAGAAACTACAGTAACTGTATGACCTACTCAAATGACATTTCCTTGATGAAGTTCTTCCTCATACTCTCAGCCAGAAAGTCTTAATTTGTTTGCAAGCCTATCACGTTCCTGTTGTAGACAGCTCATGTAAGGCAGAAGGAAGGGTGGTCTGCTATAATGATAAAGAGGCTGGACTCCAAGGCATTCTGCTCGGGCACAACTCTGAGCTTTGCCACTAACTACATGAATGACTGCGTAAGTTACTTCAATTCTGTGTTTCAGTTTCCTTATCTATAAAATGAAGATAATAATAGCATCTATTTCACCAGGTTGTTAACAAAACAATAGCATTCAACTGATTATTAACTTATTAAAATATGTAAAGCACTTCAGACAGTGCATGGCACGTGGCAAGCACTAAATAGTTCAAAGTGTTATAATTATGCATTTACCTCTCACAGTTGGTTATCTCCTATCCCAGTTCCTCCAGTTATATGTTTCTGAAGGGCAAAACGATATAATTCAACTAGGACTATGGCAAAAACTATATAAGAACATATACGTTATTGGCACTGTGTTTTGAACTGTAGGCATTAAAAATCCGTAATTACCATTATCGTCACTGTGAGTACTACTATTATTATCTGTGTTCTCATGCCTGTGCCTGACCTTTTAAGATCTAGGGAAGGCACAAATCACCACTGAGTGGTTACAAACATTCACAAACGAATGGAAGAACTTTCCCCAGGAAAGCCTTGCCTTGCATTGGGCAGAACAATGGGCAGTAGCATCAGTTTCATTGTCCTTCCAGGAAGTGAATTTACAAGTATTACTCACAAGAATCCTGCAGCATAAGAATCTGATAGATTGTTTGTGCCTCCAGCTGATGTGGTCACCACACCTTCAAGCCAAATCTTCTTTCCTGGAGTGTATGTATTAACCACCTGTTCATACAACAAAGCAAAAGAAGAGGATAATGAATGTTTAAAAACTAAGCCCAAATGAGAAGCAACAGACATTCCCCTACGGAAGTTTCCCTAGTCTCTGCTCCCAGGTGGTCACGGTTTGTGCTTGTTTTATAATGGTGCACACAGAAAAGTGAGCTGACATCACAAATAAAAGCATTAATATGGACACACATCTCTGCAAAGAAATCATCATTTTTCCCTTAAGAAAACCCAACATATTCTAACATGAAAGTTGACTGCAACAGCCTTCACTGGAAAATGTAATTGTATTGTGTTTCCCTTTGATTGAGAAGCAATTTTCTTCAGTCATCTGTGGTGGCACATCTATGATATAGCATGCTGCCCATGCATCAGAAGTTATGAATCATAAGAGGGTAGACAGCAATGTTTGCGAGAAATATTTTATAAATAGCAAGGCATGATATTGCAACAACTTTTGAAAATAACTTCAGTTAAGTGGCAAAAGAAGTCACTGACCCACAAGTCAGAGAACACCAGAGAGCAACTATAGCTGTCTGTCATCCATGCAGAAGCAAAGTCCCTTGTCAAAAGGTGACCTCCTGAAGTTTTGAAATGGCCCAGTCTCTGCTCCACAAGTTGGAGACTGGCCAAACTATCCCATTTGTGGTACAGATACTCTGGGAAGAAATATAGCAGTACTTCTAGGTAATATTGTATGCTAGGTAGGCCTGGAAACAGAGCTTGAGTCAGACTATCTACAGACAGAACATTTGAGAAATAATACCAAGAAACAAGAATGAGGAACAATGGGGGTTGAAACAGGGAAGAAAAATGAATACAATCATGTTTTCAAACCTGCATCTGATATTGGCAACCTAGACTAAATCTCTCAGGGATTTCAGTAATGGCCTTTTGAGCTGTCTCTACATTGTTCTCCACGAGTTATAATGGGAAATATCCATCCCCTGGCTCCTCTCCTTCAAAGGTCAATAGCCTTGTGGTTGTTCACTCACCTTCTTCCCACTCTCTGCCCCCATTTCATGTGCAGGTCTGAGTGCTGAATAAGATTCCCCGAGAGTTCCATATTTCTGCCTCAGAGAAGTCCCAGAAAAGGAAATAAGAGATAGGGGCCTATCATACTGCACTAGCAGCAAGCTGGTTATAACCCTACCCTGGCCTAGCTCTCATCTTTGCAACAATGGCTAAGCAGGAAGTGGGACTAGGAGGTTCCTGTTATAATAGAAAGGGTCATATGGCTCATCGATTCCTCTTCCATATATATACATGCCAAAACAAGTCTTCCTCAGATCTCTAGGGAAACAATTATAAGGTGCCCACTATGCTACCTTTTGTGACAGGTGTCCTTTGACAGAAATGAAAAAATAAAATGTATTGGATACATAGTACTATGAAACACTACAAAGCAGTTGGAACAATCAACTGAATGCCAATATGCAACATGAATAGGCTTTAACATTTTAGTGGTAAGCTAAAAAAAAAAAAAAAAACAGAAAGAAATTTACAGCACAATATTATTTATTTAATTACTTATTCACATCCAGCAGCAAGTACACATCACTTAATGGCATATATCAAACACACAAGGAAGGTATTTTTAAGAGAGGGGTGAAAGCTAAAATTAAAACCGAACTTTGCATGAACTAATGATATAGTTTAAGTGACTTAAGTATCTGCATGGAGGCCCTCAATAAAGCAAAAAAAAGTGCATGGGGAGGGACAAACCCGTGGGTAGACATCAGCAAATGATCATAAGCCTCTTTTCAATTTCACCTAGGTAAAGCTCTCTGTCCCCTCTCCCCCATCTACTAGAGAATTTTCATTATTTGAAACCTATTTTAATGTAAGAGTTGGCAAAATTATCAACCCTTTCAGAATTAAGCTTGTGAAAATATTATACAAATTCAAAATGAAGTAAGGATAGACAGATCAAGAATGGAAGAAAGATCCTGAGAACTAATGGTAGAGGTGAAATCAGAATGTCAATAATTAAATAAAAATCCACCCTTGTACATGGGAAAATAAGAGTCATTTGGGAATACTATAAGGTAGTTCCCTCATCCTTTCAACACTGTTCAGTGTATCCAACCCAAAGGAAGCTGAAAAAAGAATAAAAGAAAAACACCTCAAACGATCAAAAGACAGAGTCATAGGTGAAATTAAAGGATTATATCCATTCCTGTTAAAATATAGTGTAAAAACACCTGTGCAATGATCAATTTGTGTTACTTTTATGACTAACCAGAGCTGACTCAATATATTCGTGTTTTTATTCTTTGCTTTTGGCTTCTAGGATATTCAGAGTTTAATTTTGTGCTCAAAACCAGATATTGAAGTGAGGCAGTTAGAGACAGGGGGTTTAGTTAAGCAAAACAAAACAAAACAAATGCCAAAAATGGTAAACATTGAAATAGAAATGAACCTTGAAAATGTTAAGCTAAGTGAAAGAAGCCAGACACAAAAGGCCACATATTGTATGATTCCATTTATAGGAAATGTCCAGAATAGGCAAATTCATGGAGACAGTAAGTAGATTCATGGTTTCCCAGGGTTGGAAAAGGATAGGGAGTTTGGAAGCAGGGGAACTTTGGAAGTGACTGTTATTGAGCTTGGGGTTTCTTTAGGAGGTGGTAAACCTCTTCTAAAATAAGACAGTAGTGATGATTTCAAAATTCTGTGAATATACTAAAATCTACTGGGTGTCACACTTTTTAGAAAATATTTATTTATTTATTTATTTGAGAGGCAGAGTTACAGACAGAGAGGGAGAGACAGGCAGAAGTCTTCTGTCTACTGGTTCACTCCCCAGATGACTGCAACAGCCAGAGCTGGGTTGATCCAAAGCCAGGAGTGAGGAGTTTCTCTAAGGTCTCCCATGTGGGTGCAGGGGCCCAAGCACTTGGGGCATCTTCTACTTATTTCCCAAGCAATTAGCAGAGAGCTGGATTAGAAGAGGAGCAGCCAGGACTCAAACTGGTGCCCATACGGGATACTGGCACTACAGGAGAAGGCTTAACCTACTAAGACACAGCACTGATCCTCAAGTGTCACACTTTCAAAGGGTGAATTTTATGGTATGCATATCATATTAGCAAAAGGAGAGGTGGAGTTTAAGCAGGCCAATAGTCATAATGTGGAAAGTGGACTGTTTCCTGAAAATGAGGGTTCTACTGCATACTAGCTGTAAGAATTTTAGCAGCCATTATCTTGGACTTCAATTTCTTCATTGACATTTAAAATCATGGATTTGGAATAGAAACTCTCTAAGTCCCTTCTAGTAAAATGTTAAGATGCATTAGTATTTTATAATACTAATTTGAGTTCCTTTGGATCCTGTCACCCAAAGGTCAAGAGTATCCTTGATTATGGAAGTTAACAAGTATGAAAGACCAAAAAGAAGTCAAAAACAACTTAGAACTTGCCATCTCAGAAGCAAAGATCAAGGCTAGAGGAAAACAGTGAGAGTGGTAGACAAAGCCATGGGAGCAGATGAAATTGGCTACAGAAAATATAAAAAAATGAGATCAGAAAAAGGATAAGGATTTCCATACAAAAATATTAAGGCATTATCAAATGCATAAATTAATTCATTCAACAAATATGTATTGAGCAGAAGCTATCTGCCAAGCACAGTTCTAGGGGTAGTTATTCAGCAATGAAACAGAATAAGTTCTGTTCTCATTCACTTAATTTTAGTCAAGGGCAGGAGACTAACACTAAACAAGTAAACAAAATAAATTTAGAAAACAATATGGGTAAAAAACAAGAGTAATATAGCAGAAAGTGACTAGGTAGAAGAAGAGATTACCTTAGTGTTTAAGGAAGGCTCCTATGGAAGGTGGTATCTGGGCTAACAGCTGAGTGAAGAAGCAGCCATCCCCTTAATGAATCTGGAGAGGCAGCCCAGAAAAGGGCCTATGGTAGAAACAGGATTGCTGTTTGTACAATCCACAGATTACCACCTGGAGTCTAGCAATGGACTGAAAGATTTGAAACTGAGATCACAGAAGAAAGGAGGTATATTTTCATTCTGAGTGTAACATGAAGTTATAGGGGTTTAAGCAAAGGAGTGATCTGATCTGACTTGTACAAGATCAACATAGATGCTAAGAAATCATATCCATATGTAAATATATAAATAGGGTGTGGGTGTGTGTGTATGGATCATGAAAAGTGATACACAAATTATTTTTTTCTTTTTCTTTTTAAAATTAATATAAAGAGAACACATGTTGTGCACTCCATGGGTACAATTCCATGAAGACAACAATACTTCCCTCACTCCCCCTGCCAAACTCCCTTCCTTCCATTCTCTCATCAGTTTTTTAAAAGTCATAATTTTAATCCACTCTATATTCACAGAGTTAATTTGCCTCTAATCATAATATTCAAGTAAAAAGTGGGAAGACAACAGCGCCACAGGAGTATAAACAAGGGCTAAAAATGACAGTCATATCACAAAATGTCCATATCATTCCTATACATTTTTTATATTCGACATTAACTACTACATATGAGAGAAAACATGATATTTGTCTTTCTGATATTGGCTTATTTCTCTAAGCATAACGCTTTCCAGTTGCATCTGTTTTGTCACAAAAGACAGGATTTAATTCTTTTTTTTATGGCTGAATAGTACTCTGTATTGTATTTATGCCACATTCTCTTTATCCAGTCATCAGCTGATGGACATCTGGGTTGATTTCATATCTTAGCTATTGTGAATAGAGCTGCAATGAACATGGAGGTACAACTAACTCTTCCAAATGCGGATTTCATTTCCTTTGGGTAAATTCCCGGGTATGGGATTGCTGGATCATGTGGTAGATCTATTTTCAGATTTCTGAGGAATCTCCATGGTGTTTTCCATAATGGTTGTATTAGTTTACATTTCATTTTGATGACCATTTTTAGCTCAATTTCCTCACTAAAACAATGAAATAATACCCAACATGATTGAGTTAAAGATTCTATCTGCATTGTCTAAGGATAAATAA